TTGTAGTTGTTTCACATCAAATGAAACTATCTTCTCATATACAATTGAAATATTGGTAATATAATACTAATATAATATTGGATTTCCCCCACTTTGCTTTCAGCCAACAATAAATGTCTGTGCCCACAGTAAGTGTGGAAATTGGATATGACCATAGATACAACGCCAACTGCAGTGTATGAATATATATGTAATAGTGCTTCCACAGTATTAGCAGTACTTGTTATGTTATTATTTTTCATAAGCTTTATAGCATCTTTCCAGTGGTTTTGTCTAAGGCCAGATGTTAGCGCACAAAGGCAAATCTTCTCACACCTTTTACTGTTCTATTATTGCAGAGGAAACAGTTTTGTTGGTGAATCTGTGATTTTAAACACACAGGTGGAACTTTTTCCTGGAGAGTGAGAGTGTTTTCCCTTCAGTGCAACCAATTTCAGGAGGACACAGGCAATGTATTTTCCAGGGAATCCCAGCTGTAATCTTCACTGGTAGCTGCAAAACAACAACATTTTTATGGACTCCTCTATTAAAGTAACCACAAACATATCTCTCATAAGCAGGCTGGGCACTGCTGGTTTCCTTGCCCAGGGAAAGGAGAAAACATGACGTGTCGGAAACTCTGAAGAGATCCTCCTTGGGTTGTCGGTTCTCTCATGCCTGGCACAAGGGGCCCCACTTGCGCTGTTGGAGCATCCTGCAGTGTTAACGAGATTCCTATTTTTCCCGGCCGCATTGCATTTACAAACACACATACTGTGGTGCTCTCTCTCAGGTTTTATAGTACTGTGTCTTTGGCCTAATGAGCCTTCACAGCTGAGGGTTTTTACCTCTCTGATTCAGAGACAGTCAGGTTCATTACACCTCTACATGTACAATCTCATAGACTTGAAGGCAATGAGGTGTTCTTATAAGTCAATCAAATTTCATGTGTTTGACCCAACTGACTGAATCTTTCTCAGTATACCCACTGGGGAAATTGACATGTAGCCCACAACCAAATCTATTTCTGTCTAGTTTTGCATCTGTTAGGGGCATTCCTAAAATAGGGTGTTAATGAAGTGAGTGTCTCCAGATCTATGTGGAGCTAATGCTCTGGTGGTCCACCCACAACAGGAAGGAGAAAATCCCTGCGAGCGCCCTGCTGAGGGCTTGACTTACTGTTTCACAAATAAAAGCAACACACTAAGACAGTGTAATTGACTCATTGTGTGTGCAGCTGTATGTGCCAGTTTACTCAGGTTAATATTGGCCTTTTTTTCAAAATGTCAAATACAGTTGAATCAGGAAAGACACGTGGATTACATAGATCTGAAGGGATAGAGCCCTATAACAGCCAATCAGATATGAACGGGCCCTTGACACTGATGGTGGTGGAGGGGAAAAGTAGCTGGGACTGTAATGACAGCAGAGAGAGACAAAACAGGTGAGGTGGTTAAAATATTCTTCACCCGCGATGATCATTGGAAGACAGGAAAGCCTCAGAGCTTATAATCAGAGCTCCCTTCTCTTCACAGTAACTAATTCAAGTTAAAGGAAAAGCCTTGAATATGAGTGTAGAAACACAACAAATATAGATTCCCTCATCTTAATCCTTTTTGACGACCTTCGACCCCTTCCAGTTGATGCTGCGAGCCCTCGTGACTGCTGACTGAACAGTTTGATGTGTATGAACACTGATGAGTAACAACAAGAAATCACGTGAGAATCCATCTTGCCAGGCTTCAAACTATGCAACTGTGTCCAACCACAGTGACTGGACAAATCAGCATCCTGTGAGGAACTACTGGCAGCTATGGCATGAGCTACAGGTCTGGTTTAATGCTAAGTGTGTGTGACAACATTGTGTGAACCAGTTTCTGTTTGCTCTAAAGCAACGGCAGCTCCTTAGGAGGTTAGTGTAGATGCTGCTAGAATCAGAACTGGAGAGTATTTCTTCACTGAAAGAAGAGCAAAAAACAGCACCAAAGGCTTTTCTTTATAAAAAATATATTTTTGCTTGTCTCCTGACTGGCTTTGGAGAGAGTTTGAGTACATTATATGGTTTGTTGGTCTGATAGGTTGAAGATAGTGATAGACAGATGGTTAATCCAATTACTTGCCAAGTATGTTTTTGAAAGTGCCTGCCCTTTTTCAAATAGCTCGCAGGGATTTTCTCCTTCCTGTTCAGAGCATCAAACTGATTAAAATGAGTAAAAAAGTCTTAATCTAAAAACATTAGGAGGGGAAAATCAAAGATAATAGACAATAGACAAATATCATAAAAAACAACAGATTTAAAAAAAGATTTTGTGTACAATTACATGAAAAGGAACAGACTGTACAAATCACACTATCACGGCAATAGGGTTATGGTAAAAAAATATATATATTATTATCTATCTTTAAAAGTCCAGTGTGTAAAATTTAGGCAGGTCTATTGGCAGAAATGGAATATAAAATTCATAGGTATGTTTTAATTAGTGTATAATCACCTGAAAATAAGAATGTTTTCGTTACTTTGGAGTGAGCTGTTTTTATCTACACAGGGAGCGGGTCCACCATGTTCAATCACCATGTTTCTACAGTAGCCAGAACAGACAAACCAAACACTAGCTCTAGATAGGACCTATTTTCATGAGTTTTGCGGCCACCACTTTGTCCTGCACACTTTAAAGGGGAGGGCAATGCGACAGCCTCACTGATGACAATAAAAAGAAAACCATTATTCATCTTATCCAATTGTCAGAGGAGTCCATATTAAGACCTTTTGTCGTAAGTGTTTGTAAAATACAGAATCCTTACTCTAGATCTACTCTCCTAGGTGGACAGATGACCTTGTCAATGCCATGAAATTCTAAAACAGGTCTAAATGACCTGTCCACCATTGTTAGAGTAAACAGCAACAGGATTGTCTGACATGTTGCCTGTGGTTAAGGAAGTAGAGCAGGTCATCCACTTATCAGAAAGTTGGCAGTTCAATGACCAGCTCCTCCCACTGCATGTCAAAGTATTCTTGAGCAAGATACTGAACCCCAAATTGCTACAAATGCTATGCATTAGTGTGTGAATGGGTGGGTATGGGTAAATGTGGCATATACAGTAGTGTAAAGAGCTTTGATTAGTCGGAAGGCTAGAAAGGCGCTGTATAATTGCAGTCCATATAGACTCCCTTTCTTTGAGGGGTGGCAGGATATTGCTCACTGATGGTCTAAATGCTTGTGTGAAACCTTTTCAACCAAGACAAGAATAAAATTAAGACTAACTGTGAAGGATAATTCTGCTTTATTACTTATGTTATATTAAAGTCATGCATATTCCTGGCATCATGACATCATTAGCACTCATAATGTACAAATCAAGTTAATTGCTAAAAACCAAGAACATTGTGACATCTTAAAAAAAAGGTCTTGCATGTCAAGAATAATGAACTGTTATCAGGTTATTGAAAAGGTGAACAATTAAAAAATAAGGAATTATCTGCAACATTTCAGGTGTGCTTACATTTGTTTTTACCTCTGAATAAAGTGATTTAGACAAACTGTTGGTCTGTTTACAACCTGTCTGAACATCAGACTTCATTGTTGCAGTGTCACTATATTCCCACATTTCAGCAATTCACTTGAGTGAGTGAGTGCGACGTTATCATAACTAACAGAAATGATGGACAAAGCTATTAAAATATGGTCCCTTGTTATAAATTTACTTTTAATGATACATGAATGTCAGAAGGGAGTTGTTTCAATCCAATGAAATATCTGTGTTGGTATCTGCCCAAAAAACCCTCCGGGATCCAACTCTGTTGCAGATTTCCCATCATGTGTTTTCCATTGCTTCAGTCAGTGCTTGAGTGTGTGCGCGTGTCTTCCTCTCTGCATGTGTGCTAGTGGAATCCCAGTATTCGTTGTGGGGTCCTTCAGGCTCCACACGGACAGCTGAATGGTATTTCCACACTGCTCCCAGGCACTTGTTACAGAAGGGAACCCCACTTAATGGGGTACACCTCATAAAGGAAGAGGTTGGTCATTTCCCTGTGGTTTACTGAGTGTGTGGTGGGGAGGAGGGAGTCCACTTTCTGGGGTTTCTCACCAGCAACAGTCCCGATGGAAGTTTGTTTGTGTACTGAACAATAACAAGATTATCTGCTCAGATAGTTGCACTTGAAGAAATAGCTTCAGGTATTGTTTAATATTAAATTATAGGTGAGTTGTCCAAGGTTTTTTGGTTCATTTCCCTCCTTTAATGTCAAGGTGGAGAAAGTGTTCATATCCTTCACTTAAGTAAAATAAGTAATACCCCACTTTAGGAGCCATGTCTAAGTGTATGTAGGACCAAATTGGTCCAGTAGGTGTCACCTTCGTGCTTCAGATCACTTTCAGTTTAGGTAGGAACCTTCACTCAGGGAACAGTGTTGTTGGATGGAGGAGCAGAAATAGCTTTTTGACGGCTACGCTAGACCACGCTGCAGGGTAACACTGGGTCATTGGTGAAAAGTGTTAATGTATGGAGATTTATGGAAAATGGTTATGGATTCTTGACACATGGAAGACCTTTACCTGTGATATGCAAAATAAATATTCCATAAACTCAAAAGCAGAAGTTGAACTATTCACTAGACACGAAGTGATGCTACAGCGAGCCTGTCTATGTTGCCCTCGTGGCTTTAAGTTTAGGCTTAGCCGCTACAACCCACTGTAAAAATACTGAAATCATAGAATCATAGAAATGTGGAAGTGTTGCCACTATTTGATCTATGATAGAAATGGAAAATAATATGTTATCAGTGTATAATGACCTGAAAATAGGAATTTTTTGTTACCTTAGAATGAGTCGTCTACAGTAGCCCAGAAGGGACAAACCAAACATTAGTGGTTGTGAAACATACAATAGTATCTGCAGTGTGTTCACAGTATCACATTGTCATTATGTAGTAGATAATGGAAGGACACTCCAGGTTACATCCAAAAACTGCTCTCTAACATGTTTGCTGTCAAAGCTTTCACTATGCTAGTGCTATCTTTCACTCCTTGAATTGAAAAGTTTGCTCTGTGCAAGAGGTTTCAGATTTTTTGGTCGCCTGCATTTCCTAGATAGCATTTTCACAAATCTGGCTGGCCTGGGCTATGTTTGAATCTCAGAATTTTGTAGTGTGTACCATAGGGGAATGTGAAAGAACCTCTCAAGTGACAAACACAGATACAAGTCAGTAAATTCAAGGTCTGACATTTTATTACCCAGTTGGCACCAACCAGGAATTCAACGTTGATTTCTAGCTGAAAACTTAGGAAGCAAAAGTATATAGTATCGGGCGCCCGGTTAGCTCAGTCGGTAGAGCTGGCGAATCCGACCTGCGGCCCTTTTCTGCGTGTCATCCCCCCTCTCTCTGCCCCCCTTTCCTGTCTGTCTTTCAGCTGTCACTATCTAATAAACGCAATAAAAGGACCAAAAAAATAATTTTAATTAAAAAAAAAGTATATAGTATAGAAATAAGCAACCAAGTCCCTTTTAGCAGCAAGATGCTGTGGTTGAGTGGGTTAAGTAAAGGTCTCATACAGTGGAAGCTGTGGTTTAACTCCTGTATGTGAAATTTATATTTATAGTGTCTTTCAATTGATAAATTCGGATGTGGTTTCAGACTCCAAAGTCATAATAGCACTTTGTTTGGATGTAAAATGTCACTATTTCAAATCCTGGTGAAATATGATCTAAATGTAAGTGTCAATCAGTGTCTTCAGATAGTTGGTGAAAAAACTCACTTTCGAACCAACTTGAACCGGTTACTATAGTTGTTTTTTTAACTTCTTTTCAACTGCAATATGTTCACTGGCTTCACATAAACATAAGTAAAACATATTTTTGAGTGGAGGAGATCTTTAAACATATCAGTGAGGTATTTTGTTAATGGCTGGTATGTGACAGAACTGACAAACTGCTGCCAAAGTGAGCCCTCCTCCATTTCAAAGTCAAAAATCTGTAGCCAGATGAAGTAATGTGAAGAGTAGATTGCGTATACTCTTTAAATATATATCATATATATATATTTTTAAATTTTAAATTATGCCTAATTATAGAGTGCTTTCCCCATTTTTACTGAGAATGTGTAGTTGTTTATCATATTATATCTAATTAGTCTGTTTGTTGTTAGTCTAAGACCTTATACTTATAAACATTTCTGTTTCCATTCATGTGTTGATAAAAAGTTAATTATTGCTTAAATTCACAGTATGACTCTTTCATTGATTTTGTAGAACTTTTTGCAGCACAAAGCCTTTTTCCCACATTAACTCTGTCTGGCACTGTATCTGCTTTACAGACTGATTAATGTACAATGGTTCTGAATCCTAAATTACTCTTACAAGTGACAAGCCGAGCCATCAGCTCATAAGGCGTGCGGGCTGAGAGCTGCAGCCCACACAAAGGAGAACGCATCTGTCTCTATTTCCGCTGATCTTTGCCTGTGACTGAAAAATGTATTGAATTTGCGTGTGTTCTGCTCTATAGATAATCTATTATTAAACTTTAGGTTAGGTGAAATGACTTGGCTTTAAAAAAAAATGATAAGCCTCACCACTTGTCATTCAAATTCATCATATGAAGAAGAAAGACATCAAAACTCATATCAAAATGTCAGTTTCATTATTTGTCTTTCAGTGATTCTCTTTAAAAAACACACACAATGGTGTTAATGCTCATTGTCCTGCATGGTGCTCTACTGCCGCCTAGTGTCATTAAGTAGTACTGATCCTAACAGGTCTAAATTTGACCTCACACAATATGATTACAGCTGCAAACAAATACCATTCAACCTTTTAATTTCATTGAAACAATTCAAACAGACTTAGATTTGTGTGCAGCAGAATAACAGCAATATGAAGCCAACAGACTACAGTTTGAAGAAACTATGATCAAAGACCATGTGGTCACAGGCTAAGGAGAAGAGGCTCAGTTGCAGAGGTCGGTGCTGCAGCAGCTGGCAATCACGCCAGGTGTTGTGATGTAGCCCTGACACACCGCCATGTTCATGCACTGACGGAACGAAGAGTCTGGAATCATAAAACAAAAGGGATCCAATTAAACCATCTACTGTATTACATACAAACACATTCATAGTGGGTGGGTTGGATTAAAGGATAGGTTCAAAATTTTCTCTCTATAAAAAAACACAATAAGTTGCAAATATGCGTTATTAAGATTGTGAAATGGTCGCAGTTTGGTTTGGTTAAGGAAAAGATTGCAAATTACGTTACGTACATGACGTAACTTAAAGGGCCAGTATGTAACATTTAGGAGGATCTATTGGCAGAAATGGAATATAAAATGCATAACTGTGTTTTTATCAGTGTATAATCACCTAAATATAGGAAACCTTAGAGTGAGCCTTTTACATCAAAAGACACCGCAAGTCGCTTTCTATGAAGTCCGCCCTGTTGAACTGCCATGTTTCTACAGTGGATCCAGAAGGGACAAACCAACCCTGGGTCTAGATAGGCCCTGTAGTTTCTCCTTCGCACTTGGAAGGGAGGGAGTTTCAATCTGCAACTACACAGCTACATGTCACTAAATCCTACATACATACTGATGAACAAGAGAATAGAATAAATATGCAATGTCCGGTTAGACTTTCAACATAAAGCCTGTGTTGTTAACGTTGTGAAACAGTTGCAGTTTGGTAAGGTTTAGGCAAAGACTGTAAGTTACGTTACTTACCTGACATAATTTGAGCACATTAATAAACAATGTACTTATGTAATGCACCTGAAGTATGTTAACTTACGGAACTTAAGTAAGTTAACTTACATACATTACTTCAAAGATATTGTTAACTTTTGGTTTTATGTGGACTTTGGTGCAGCTGTTGCTCAGGAGGTTGTCCATTAATCAAAAGGTTGTGAGTTTGATTCCTGGCTTCTCCCTCTGCATGTCAAAGTGTCTTTGGGCAAAAATACTGAAACCCAAATTGCTACCAATGCCGTGCTAACTGGTGTGCAGTTAGCACTTTGCATGGCAGCCTCTGCTATAAGTGTATGAATGTGTGTGAATTGGTGAATGTGACATGTTGTGTAGAGAACTTTCAGTGTTTGGAAAACTAGAAAGATACTATATAAGTGCAGTCCATGTACAATTTTCTTTCTAGCTCTTTATACTATGTCACCTGACTTGGATGTTGGCACATCCAGAAATCACCCTAGAAGGACACCTAAAGCATCATGTTTTGAAGAAGCGGCCGCTGACCAAGCTGCAGTGTTTGATGACTTGGGAGAGTTGTTGCATGATGTATTTTGCATTCTATCTTTTTAATATTAAGTTTTTATTTAGTTAATGTTAATAACTTAAGACAGCACTGAAAAGCTAATTAATACCAGAAAGGAGTAATTAACATTCTAGTAGCACACTGCAGCCTCCACTGAAGGACTTACTCAGTGGGTCTTGGAATATGACAGCACCACAAGCATTAGTTGATCCTGAACAGGTCTGGATGCTGGTCGGGGTGCAGAGACTACCCCCCTTTGAGAAACAGTAGTTACACTTTAGTGCCTCGCCTGCATAATACACACAAATAAGAAATAAATGACAAATTAAAATATACAACTGTGGAACATATTTAATCAAACAAGGAAATGAAGAAAAATACATATAGAAACGATGAGGTTGTCTGTACACACATTTGCAAGCTCTCAAAACTTTTTGTTTATGCAACATTTCAACCTACCAGGTCTTTGTCTGACTAAAGTAATAGATTTAAATATGGTATATGCAGCTAAAAACATTAAGATATACAAATATTCAAACTAAAGCTCCAGTGTGCAGTGGCACAATTATGGTGAAACAGTTTAGGATTAGCACCCTGCAGGGAACTTTGTCATGTTTTGTCCACTATCATGTTTTATCTACCATAGGGGCATCAAACAACAGCTAAACAACAACAATAAAAACATACATACCTTGATATAGGCTCAGAAAGAGAAAGATGGTACACACTGCAGTTCTCATTTTTTCAGTCTAGAATTTTAAGAAAACATACTTTTAAGGAAAATTTGTTTTTGGTTGCAACAGTTGTGATCTCATCTGTTAAATGATAAAGACAAAGACTCCTCCTTGTGGTCTGTAAGATCATCAATCAATAAGTCAGTTTTTTGTAAAGAAATAAAAAGCTCATTCACTGTTAATCACTGTCAGTGACAATTTATAATATTGAGCATTCATTGTTTCTCAATATAGGATATTAAATAAGGCACCTAACAGCAAGGACACAATAATATTTCCAGTTTTAGGTTTAGGAAAGCAGGTAACGTTTGACTTACATTAGCCATTGATTTTTCAAGAGCACATAAGCATTGATGAAAGAAGCAATGTATATATTGATATTGATATCCAGCATACACCATAATGCTAGCAGTAATACTCATTAGAGCACCAATGTGGTTTAATCTGCCACTGAAAGTAGTTCCTGACAAATGCATCATTGACTATTGAAAGGAGTCATTAACTTCAGCATTCAATATAAGCACAAAAAGTCCCTTTTTACATAAAATACACGTCAGACATTTGTACAGACTATTAAGATAGCATTTACAACAACAGAGAAAAGTTAAGCATCCTTAACACAATAAAGTCTGCAGCTAAATAACTACTCTACCTGTAAAGTACAGAGATGGGTTGTTATCTTGAGCTCAGGTTCTCAGTGAAATGTGTCTCTGTGTTCACTGGAGAAGTGCTAGCTTTACACTCGGCTCTGTCTTTTAACACAGTTGTGTATTGTGTAATCAACCACTGTTTCTCTGCTGACTGGCTGTGACTTGTTAGGACTGACTGCAACATAACTGACTTTCCAGCAGTGTTGCAAAAGAGGAATATACAAGGAATGTACCAAGTGACTGGCTGATCACCTGATCTCATCAGCTAAAAATCCGTTGATTTTAATGTATTTATTGCAGTGATTTATGATTATGATATAATAAAAGAGACAAAGTGCAGCTTTAATACTTATTGTGTTTAAATACCAACAGACAGGCTACTTAATATTCAGATTCAATTAAATCAGAGGGTCAAATCTACGTAGTTTTTTCTACACGCTTGGAATAGGAGGTTAAGGCCAGAGGGATGCAGCTACACAGTTATGCCAAATCCTACACACTGGTCCTTTAAGAAAAAAAAATGGTGACAGAAACAAAGTGTCTCCCATTTATAACCAAAGCACCTCAAGATTCATCAACCTTCTACACACAAGAGACACAGGTCAACTGCTTATATTGTCTCTGCGTTTGGTCAAGCATTTCAGTGCTGAAACCATAAAACTGTGGTTAATCATGCTCCTGTTTGGGTCTTATTTTTCCATAGAAACTTGCAGCTATTGTTCTGCTTTGGTTGAGTTTAGCAGAAGAGATGTAAGATGCCCTCAGAAGTGTACAAATATCTAAACCACTTTAATGTTATTTTATGGTGTGGGATTGCAGCATTGCAACAGGAGCTGTCTCAGCAGTAACAGCCGTGTAATGCACCAACATGACATGAGAATAATTTCCTATACAGTAACTCACTGTGCTATATATAAAGCCCACATCTTGCCTAAAGTTAAAACTGTAGAAGTCTATTTTTATGGCAGAAAATCCAAAAGCAAGCATAGCTTCAATTCACAGTGATATCATTATTTCTTTATGGATATTGGCACACAGAGCTCTCTTCATCCTGAGTCACAGCACTGTGAAGAGAACCTAGTTAAACAGATTAATACACTTCAGAAAAGGTTTGCTTTTCCCCAGTGGATGTCAGGAGGTCTGCTAATTTTCCCTGGTTTCATATAAATACATATAAATACTGTTCATTCATTTCTTAATTAACTGGGGCAGTCTGTTTTAAAGGTCCAGTGTGTGGGATTTAGTGGCAGCAGTGTAGTTACAGATTGCAACTCCTTTGTTTCACCCTCC